ACTCATCAAGAAAGGACACAAAGTTTGGTAGGTGGGGGAGGAGGGGTGGATCAGACAGCAGATAAGGGGAATGAAAATGATCAAAACATGCTATACAGAATTCTCAAAGAACATATGTGTGTCTTCTTTACTATGTATAATATATGTTGCCTATATTTATTAACTTGGGGGAAAAGTAAACAAAAATCCTGGAGACATGGTGTACTTAATGAGTACGTATACATGAGACTCTGGGTTTGGCCCCCAGGATCATAAAAGAGAAAATAAAAAAATAAACAACTTGGCTATAGAATCATATCTGGTTCAAATGAGGGCTCTGACAAATATTTGTTCTATGATATTTGGTAAGTAATTTATCTTTCTTTTAAAAAATCTATTTCTTTGGCTGTAATATAGGAACAAAATAGTAGTGAAACATTTGTAGATAAATTGTTTATAACAAACATCATCTAATAAGTAACATTATTAGAACTCAGCTGTATGTGTGTGTGTGTGTGTGTGTATGTGTGTGTGTGTGTGTGTGCATGCACACATAAGTGCAGTGCCTGCAGAGGGCAGTGGTTGTAGACCCCTTCTGGACCTGGAGTTACAGACAGGCAGCTGTGATCATCTAACATGAGTGCTTAGAATTGAACTCAGGTCCTCAACAAGAGCAGTGTGTGCCCTTAACCACTGAGCTGTCTCTTCACCCCCTATGTGATGTTTCCATGAAAGACTGTGTGAATGGTATTGTGGAAGAGGACTTCATATTTTCTTATATAAAGAATAGTGTAAAATTAGTTAGCATGTATGAGATGGGAGCAGAGAAACACACAGAGAGAGAGAGAGAGAGAGAGAGAGAGAGAGAGAGAGAGAGAGAGAGAGAGAGAGAGAGAGAGAATAGAGATCAGAAAATAACTTTTGGGAATTAGATCTCTATTCCCACTGTGGGTTCCAGGATCAAACTCAGGACACCAAGCTTGTGAGACCAAAGCCACAATCACTGATTCCATTGGGAGCAATTTAACAAGAAGGCTGTGAGACAGAGTTCAATGGAACAAGTTAAGTCTTCCTAACTCTCAGCCACCTTCCAGATCAAGTCAATTTACAATCTTGGGTCACTTCAATTATTCAATTTCTTGGTCACATTTTGCTCACTCCTTTGTCTTATTCCTTTGGAAATAAGCTGTTGCCAACTGTTTACCGAAGTTCATCGTGTATTCTAAATGAATTCCCAGTTCTTCAAGGGCAAGCGCAGAATCCTGAAGAGCCTCTAGCAGAATTCTAAAATGCAATGGGTAGTCTGCTAGTTTTATTTCAAGTGCTTCATTCACATGGTATAGCTAGATGAGTTAGTGTGTGTCAGACCACATGCGTCATCCTTCCTACAGACATTTATAGAAGGCTTCCCTGGGGATGGAGGCCATGAACACCAAGGGCTACAGAGGCCTTAGGTGTCCACAGCAAGCTGACTGTGTGGCCTTGGAAAACACTCTCTGTGAACCTGTCAGCTGTTACAAGCACGGCTCTGTTGCGATGAGTACCCATCCTTAGGAGTCTGTGAGCTTCCCTGTCTTCACCATATTCCCTCCATATGGCTGTGAATGTCCTGTTCATTGGCCTCATTTTCACCAGCAGTAGAGGTATACTCCCTCTCCAAGGGCAGCCCACACCTATTGCAAATTTCAGTTTGTGAATGTAGCTCTTTGGTAACTGGTGTTACAAAATATGAACTGTGCCCGTGTGCGCTGGATTTTAAATATTTATTTATTCTTTTTTTGTCTATCATCTTTGTGGTCAAGCAAGATAGGATCCCACTGACAGTTGCTCTTACTGTCAGCTTGGGAGTGTTATTGTATTTTTTTTAACAAATGTTTGGGTCATTCCCTGGCTCACTCACAACAGCTTGTCACCATAACTAAGTGATGCCTTATCATCTATTATCTGTCACTACTAGACTAATGACAGAACCTGACAAAAAGAGCAGGTAGATTCCTACTGATTAAATCCCATTCCCTTTTAACTCTGGGTGATTTTCTGTTAATTACTGTCTCCTCTGAAAACACTTTTGAAAGTGACATGTAGCAGACAGAACTTTTCTTACAGTGTCTGGGGACTCCATGAGATGAAACAAGCAAGATATGCAGTATCATTATTACAGTCCTCTCTTGATTCCTTAAAGCATACAGCAGCTGAGCAATGAAAAAGTGGACCAGCAGTCCAGTGTTTGCTGTCTAGGAGTAGATCTGTGATCCCACATCCCAGGCTCCTGATGTCACCAGCAACCTGAGCTCTTCTGTCAACTCAGTGTGAAGACTGTCAGCCAGAGCTAACTACATCCTTTCCTTTTTCTTTTTTCAATTTTTTAATTTTTATTTTTTGTACATTGGTGTTTTGTCATGGGTGTTGGGATCCCTGGATCTAGAGTTATAGACAATTGTGAACTGCCAAGTGGGTGCTGGGAATTGAACCAGGGTCCTCTGGAAGAGCAGTCAGTACTCCTAACCATCTCTCCAGTCCCTACCTACCTCCTTTTTAGTCTCTTTCCCCAGAGTGGAAAATATCCACAGTTTAAACAACAACAACAATAAGCCCACCAACAACAACAGAAGCTAGGAGGTAGAGAGGGCATGAGTGAGAATTACTGCCTCAGACTCTAGGTGAGTTCATGGCAGCACAGCTTAATCACCCCAAAGAGCCTGGGCCTCAGCCTGGAGACTTCTCTGATGCTGCCAAATAATACTAACTGGGGGAAAGCCATTGATTTGTGTGAGGTTTGTCGGAGTGGACACAAGGCAAGGTCACTGAAGTCTTATTGTCTGAGGATTTTAAACTGGGGTAAATATCTAAGCAGAGCTCACAGGGGACACAAAGTGAACCAAAATGAAAACCAGGTTGAGGGGTGAGCTGGGTGCCCTTCTGCTGCTCCTGACCAGCTAGGCCTGTCCCTGTGCTGGGGTGACAGTGCACAGAGAGCCAGAAAAGAACTCAGGCTGAATGGATCTCACCACAATGAGAGCAGGGTGGGAATTTATGAACGAGATGGGGAATACGACCCAGGCTGTGAGGAGTCACCACTTTCTTTTATAAAACCAGATCTCTATAGGAAAGGGAAATGGCATTGTTTTATTTCTTTATCAACACCAAACAATATTGAGCACTGTGAATGTTTTTAGTACTGGCCAGTCAGAGAGTTATTTCTCAGGAACACCCCAGGGGCCTCTGACTCAGGTCATAGGACACCCAGTGCCTCAGCAGGAGCAGAAACCAGAGGGCAACCTAAGCCTCATATTTTACTCTCTAGTCCATGACAATAGAATGCCATACCTTAGGAACTCTATGCTAGCAAGTTCCATATATTAAGCACAGATTTCTATAGATGACTTTGGCATAGCTTATCTCCATGATATCCTGCTAATTATAGTAGAGCTAATGTTTAATTTCTCATTTAAACATGGGATGGGGAGAAGTAATTAGGCTAGTGACTACTGTATCTTGCATACACACACACACAGAGAGAGAGAGAGAGAGAGAGAGAGAGAGAGAGAGAGAGAGAGAGAGAGAGAGAGAGAGAAACCATTTTCAGTTTTTACAATGTTCCAGGAGAGTGTTCCCAGCAGAAATCCTCTTGGTATCACTCAGTATTTTCTTCATGTGTATCTTTGTGAGTGTACACCACATGTTTGTGGGTGCCCAGAAGAGGGTGTCAGATCTCCAGAAGTTAGAGCTGTTTCTTTACCGCCATGCCTGGTGGACCCATGACAGGTTTCGACCACAGGAAACTCTTCCATCCCCAAGTGAGATGTCCCAGCAACCCTTGGACCACAGGAAGCCTTTTTGACATCAGCCTCAAGTGTCAGGGATACCCTGCAGCTTCTGGAATCCCCAGCAGCAGCATTTGTGGGCTTGCATGTCAGGAATCAAGGGAAGTGCATCCCATCCTACACCCACCCACCCACCCACACCTGTGAGCCTCCTCTTTTCTTTCTGCTACTATCCTTGCATTGCAGTCCGATTGGAAACTTAGCAGGCTTTGACTTCTTAAAGGTTGAAATTTGATGGACACGTGAAATGACTGGGTTGGGTAAAAGCAGGCAGATGAGCTAAATGATTTCAGTGTCATCCCTTTATGGAGTTCAGCAAACAATACTTCTGAGCTGTTGACTGTATCAGCCAAAAGTCATTTTTGTGTGTGATACAGTGAGTATTGCACATCTCAGCCAACCTGTACTCTTTTCTTCTTCTCTTCAATTCTCTAAGGACTTTGAAGAAGGGAAGTCAATAAATCAATTGGCATGTTGTCCGATATCCATTTCAATGACATCACAGCCCCATTTGCTAAAGATCAGACATTGGTTACGGAAAAAGACACAGACATTTCCATTGCTAATGTGTCTCTGCCTCCATGAACAAGAATACAAGTAAGAATGGTGAAGTGAACACATAAGTAGTAGTATTTGTGTCGTCATTAAAAAATAAAAAGAAGATAACTATAGATGGTGACAGTGCCACTGATCTTTTATTTATAGGATTTATTACAACGATAAAAATGCCAAATATAAATATAAATGATGGCACTCAGTAGTATGCCTTACTAAACTGTGTGGAACCTAAATTACCTCTGAGGGATAAGGAGCCCTGTCATCCAGCTGTGTTAGACCCAGTGCTATGGAGAAGAGCTCCAGTCTGGGCTCTTCCTTGAGGAGTGGCTCTCTGTCTTCTCTCAGTCCTGTCATCTGTGAACTGCTGTGGGTGGACCAGATGATCTCTAGGCTTACTTCCCAGTGTGAAAACCTCTGCCTTTACATCCTCTCTCAAGTGGCTTCGGTGCTGTGGCATGGAGAGCACCTACCCTGCAGCTGCTGGTCTGTTCCCATGGAGGGACAGACTGGTGTTTATAGAGAGGCTACTTTTGTGTGTGACAGAGTAGTGACCAGGGAGTCAGTGCAGGTACACCACCACACTGGGCACAGGGGATTTACAGTTTAGTTTATTGCTTTCCACTTGACCCTGGACTCGTGTTGTTTTTCTTCCTTTATTAAAATGTTTAGTTAGCATACAGAATAGTGGATTTCATCACTGCATTTCATACACACCCATCATAGTACTTTACTTTAGGCCATCCCCCTACTCCTTGCCATTGCTCCTCTTCAATGCTGTCTTAAGACAGCAGTCACACCCTGAAAGCTTCCAGATACTCCCTGAAGCCCTTGGGGGTCAGGGGAAGGGCTTCCGATGCTGATATTCTTGAGGTAAAGCCTGCAGATCTTGGTGCTCCAGTTTGTACTGAGGTTACATAAAGCTCCTGGAAACAAACGGCTTGAGAAATAGAATGGGAAGGGATTAGATGGCATAAAATACTTAAAACAAGGCTTAAAATCTGTGCAACCAAGACTACCTTCCACCATATGTATGCATGCATGTAGGAGTGTGCAGGAAAAAACACACTGTATCCTGCATCTGAACATAGGCAATCCCCTCCTCGACTACTAACACTTAGATATGCCTGTTCTTTTGTGTCCTCGTTCTGCAACAACCGGAAATGAACAGCCATCTGGGCACTGCCTTCCCTCCTCTGCTCCAGACTCAGGTACTATAGACACAGCTGCCTCCCTAGCACCTTGCCTTCAAGGGTGAGCTTAGAAACTATGTGGTCCCCCCATGTCCCTCAGAAGCCTCCCAGTAATCAGCATTTCCCAGCACAAGTAATTAGCTGTAAATAACACCAGAAGCACCAGCTCTGGCTCTGTAAAAGGTGGCCAAGCGGTGTCCACCGCTTGTCTTCTAATATTAAGGGAAGCTGGAGTCAGAACTGGTGGGAAGGTGGTGAGGTCTAAGATTACAAGTCTCCCTGCCTCACGTTCGCAGGCTTTTCTTAAATTGCCATAAAGTCAGGGCCAAGCTAAAAAAGAGCTGATCATGACCAGCATGCAGAGCCCCTCTTCCGTGTCTGGGATCCTTGGGTAGTCCGCACACATCATCTCAACTCCGGTTGCCCTGTTTCCGGGCTTCGGAAAGTTAAAACTGAGACCCTGGAAGTTAAGGTCTCAAGTGATCGGATGAGGCTCACCGCTGTCCCTGTCCCTCATCCCTTCTCTTGGATGGGAGTATCCAAAACCAAGTCATTTAGGGCGAAAGACTAGGGTTCTTATTAGCTTCAAAGCAGAAGAATGTTAGTAAGAAGTCGGGGCGCCAGCTCATTTGGGGGTGCTACAGTGCCGAAGCTCCCGCAAAGGTTAGCTCTGAATTCAGGATAGTGCAGGGTGCGCTCTATTGAGTCAAAGTAGTCATCTGCTCCGCCAAAGTGCCAGCTGCCTGGAGGCCTCAGGGTGAACCGGGGAGCAGGCTGCTGAGTTGGTCAAATAAGCAAAGTCTAGCCTTGCCCATGGGCCATTTTCTGGGGAATGAGTTGATGGAGTAAAGCTGTCACACACCTTACAAAATGAAGAAGGGGTGCTGGAAAGAGTAAAGGCTTCTTTCGCCTTTCCCGGTCTTGTACTCGCTTCCTGCGTAGGCCAGGCTACTTCCGCATCCCGCGCACACACACGGAGGGCACAGGGAGTCTCACCTGCTCTCTCCTGCCCCTGCTGAGGTCACTACACGCGGGCTCAACACCTCCACGATGCTCTCTGCAGCGGCAGGGCCTAGCCCGAGGATCTGAAGGTGGTTGCTGGGGCTCAAACTAGGGATCAGGCTCCAAAGAAGGTAGGGAGGAGGCAGGCACGCTGGGTGTCGCTAGCAGCTGTCCCGGAATCCTAGAAGGGAGCTGCGACCTGTGAGTTAAGTAGCCACTTCGCCTTTCTTGTGTAGGTTACTCGTGGGTCAAGGGCGCTACCGAAAACTGCAAAGACCATTTTGAGCCACCCACACTTTATTATGGTAAGAGGCTGAGCCCAAACGCGGAGACTCTGTGCACTTCCAACCTTACTTCAGGTTTCCCGGGCAGCTTCCTTACTGCCAGGTTTAAAGGACGAGGGAGTACTCCTGTCAGCCTCCTCTGAATTTTCAGAAAAAAAATCTCACGGTTTGGTATTTGGGAGTTACAGAGACAGATATCCTAAATTTCCCGCCCCGCCTTCCTCTGTCAGGGCCGTATGCTCGCTCCCAACCCCTCAAGCCAAACACACCTTTCTCTAAACTAACCCCTCCCCAGACTTTATGGGAATAGGGTAATAGGTGAGAGAGGGGACTAACTTGATTGTCTGGTGGAGTCGAAATACCAGCGTGGGGAAGGGCTTCTGTAAAGTGTTTTTCAAGTTGCAGGATGCTGAGGAGCTTGATGGCAAGAAAGATGCCCAGTCTGGAGCACCCAGCTATGTGTATCCCTGGAGTAGGTCTGGTCTCCCGCAACACGCGGCTCAAGGCCTTGGGACTCTGGCCCGTTCCAGAACCATGTTTCTGAGAAAGCTGGAGTGTCAGATTAGCCACCCAGATTCTTTAGGCCTGCCGACCCCACCGCTACCATTCTCTATTCTCCCTCTCCTCCCTCCCCCCTCCTCTCCCGTCCCTTTCTGCCTCCCTTCTCCCTCCCTGTTGTGGACAGGTAGCCCCGAAAGTGAAACTTGGGAGCGGTGAGCAATCTGAGGGCCATCACTTCTGGATTTAGGACCCCCGAGCATTCGGAGACAGGATGAGGGTCAAAGAGGCATCCGACTCTTTGAAACCAGGGCGTGGTTTCCTTCCCTCGGGACAGCGGGGTCAGAATGAGAACTCCAAGCTCGGGGCTCTCTGGTAGGGCTCTTTGAGCGTGTAAATTCGGCCATGGGATCCAGAACTGGTGAGTGACACTTTTGCTGATGACTGCCAGGCTTTGCAGTGCCCTTTTCGAGTTTCAAGATGTCTAACACTGGAGGTTGTCCCAAGTGGCAGGATCGACCTGACCGTCGCAGCTTCCTTCTTTTTGGAGATGAAAGTGTTCTTTCAGAAGTAGAGTCCATGTTTCTGGCCTGCGCGCTTTCTAGGTTTGGAGAGGCCTCTATTTATGGCGATGCTGAGAGAATGGTGGCAGCCACACAGACCTCAACTCCACAGAAACTGGTTCACGGTCTGGGTCCCCCTGGTCTCCAAGGTCACCCCTCCCCCATAACCACTTGTCTGAAATTTACCAGATTCCAACCTTAAGGCAAGAAAAAAAGTGTTTCATATACAAACCGATCAGGGTATTTGCGGATAATTGCGAATGTCAAATACTCGGGCGTGATGACAAAGAGCAGAGATTGCCCGGGCCGGAGCTGGGCCTAAAGGGCGGGGGTTGCTGGGCTGCCCCACCACCTCAATCCTGCCCAGAGGCGGGCCTTGGGGGCGGGGCAGGAGATGGGGAAGGCGCACAGTCCAATTAACTAAGATTTGCTTTTTTAGAGCCAACACCAAAAAGCTCATTCATACGTTCATTCACGGGGTCCTCTCCCTAGCTGGCTCTGCTAAGAGGTAGGTGGCCAGGGTGAATACTGCACCAGAAAAACCTGGCCCCTTCACTCCCAGCCCCTAAGCGCCAAGTACACAGGCAGCAGGTTTCTGGGCCTCAAAAAATAGGCCCTGCCACCTGGCACTCCCACGGTAACCCTACTGTTGCTGCTCCCTATTCCTCAGTAAGAAATCACAGGGGAAGGGGAGTCACTGGCCACTCAGATAGCAACTTTCTAGCGCCAGCGTTGGTTTAAGAAATAGAGTGAAGTGGGGGAGGGGGAGAAAAGAAAAAGAAAGAAGACAAAATCCCGCTCTTTTTTTTTTCTTTGCCTCAGTAACTACTATTGTTTCAAGAGGCCTTGGGGGTACTCCCGGAGGAGATGTGTATTAGCCTCCCCAAATGGATCTTGCCAGGGTTGCAGCAAGAGCAAAGAGGACTATTTCCTACCGCTGTTGGTCAGGCCTTCCCCATTCCCTCTTCCACGAACAACACTGAAACAATCCCGATGTTTCAGGCTCCTGCTGGTCCTCCTGGAGAGGGGCTAGGAGTGGGAGTGGGAAGTGCTCTTGCTAGATTTTAGAGTACTGGCAGTCAGGTGTCTCTTGTTGATGACACCATGAAGCTGGTAGCAGAGGGGTCTGAAATCTTAAAGATGTTGAGGACCAGGTTGTTTGGTCAGGAGGCTGAAGTTAGGGGAGAGAGAACAGAGGAGGAGGGCTGGGGCTCACTGCTTACAGCATCAACCTACTCCACACCCAAGCTCTTGAGTCCAGGAGGTCTCATCCAACTTTGTGGGGGAGGAGAGTTATCACAGCTCTTCACCCGACTGTGCCCTTTCAAAGAGCGGATGTCTTCGGGTGGAAAAGGGAGATCGGAAAGCGCGTGCATGCGTGGCCGCTGCCCTGAAAGTGTTGCATTCCAGTTTCTGGGGGCTTTCAGTGACAAACCAGAAAGCGCCAGGGCTGGAACGGAGCACCTAAGAATTGAGGGGCGCGAAGGCACGTCTTGGGGAAAGTACCCCGCTTCTCAGTGAGGAGCACTGAAGCTGGGGGTGGAAGGCCTTGGGGTGCACAACTATCCAGCATTTGTAAAGTCCAAACTGGTCCCAGGAAGTCCGGTGCCAATTCCTTAGCCACCAGACACCAGAAGTGCCCTGAGCATCCAGCCCTTCCGCTCCTAACCCGGAAGGCTTCGATCTGGCCTGAAATCCTGACTTGAGGTCCTTTGGAACTCAAAGAGCAGCTTGTCCTAGCAGGAATTCGCCCAGGTCCGGTGAAGGGGTAGGACCAGCCAATGTTTTCAAGAGCCTGGGCGGCCAGCGGCACAGCAAGTGTAGGATGTGATTCTATTTGACTTTCCAAATCAAAGTGCATTGATTGGCGCCTAAAGAGTTCACGGCACATAACTATCTTAATTAAACCTGCTGTAAACAGACAAATCACTTCTTGCTCTTGCACAGGGAACTTGGGGAGATGGCAGCGGGTCTGGCAGAGACCTGGCTTGAGGGATGCGCTTTAAAAAAAAAAAAGTGCAAATGAGGCAAAACCAGAAAAAGGGCCAAAGTGGATTTCCTGCGTCCCCAGAAAACAGATGAACTGAAACAAAAACTCGGGATAGCAGGGGGTTGTAAAGGACAGCCAGGGTTTGCACTGCAGTGCGGTCTGAACCTCAGTCCAGAGGAGGGAACCGGCAGCGGGAAGGCAGGAAGGCACACTGATTGAGGAGACGGAGGCGCCCACCACTGAGGCGCTAGGTTACCCGAGTGGGCCCTACGCTTTTCTTCTAAACTTGCCAGTTCCTCAAATCCACGCAACAGTGAGAGGATGCTGGAGAAGATGAGCCGATTAGAGGTGATGGGTGTTTGCAGGAGCCTGGTGGAGAGCCAATGGAGGGCGAGTTGTTTCCGAGTAACCCTCTTTGAAAGGCAGAAGATGCACTTTCACCAGAATTTCAGGGTGCGCTGGTGTTGTTTGTAGCTGAGCAGCAGTAGCCGGGGAAAACCTTCAAAAGGGCAAGAAGGCGGGCATCCCTGTGTTGCTGGCCTCCGCATAAAGAGGGCCGAGTCTGCAAAGGTCATCGGGATTGTCCCTTTCCTCCTGGAATGTCAAAAGGGGTGGGTCTATCTGTGAATAACCCTACCTCTCCGGAAGTTACCTGGCAGAGGCAACGCTCCACAGACTTCAGGTCTCCAAGCCTAAATCCATTGGAACAAGGAGAGCCTGTCACTTTCCTAGCTACTAGCGGAAGGGAAAATTTCCCCCAAGTACAGTGAAAACACAGGAGCTTCAACTGTTACTTCAGGAGCCTGGACTTTGCCTACTGGAAAAGTTTATAAAATGAATTTTCTCTGCCTACTTAGCATCTGATGCTATTAATAATGCGATGCCCCAAATGCTCTTCATTTCGTTAGGCGGGCATCTGTAGACAGTAACTATGCTACCTTTGACGAAGAATTTAACTTCAGGTAAATTTTAGCACAACACATTTCCAAGTTTTTTTTAAATCCCGTCTTTAATTTCTATGTGAAAAAAGAAGAAAAAACAAAACAAACAAGACCCACATGCTTAGTGAAAACCGCTCTTAGATTATTTTTTATTTTCCAAGATTTTTGTATAGGTGGATACAACCCCCAAAGACCCTAGTTAACTGGTTATAAGCAATTAACTTGATTTTAAAATCAAGGCTTAATTCGGAGAAAGAAAATATCTACTCTTGGAAAAAACATGGTCGAAATGGTTAGAAGTAAAAATAAAAGTTTAAATTGTGCAATGACACAGAATTTTTGCTAAAACCAAGTTATCACTAAAAACTACGAGTCCCAATATAATGAAAATTAGTTAAAAGGGGAAACGGTGCGGTTTTTCCTTGTCATATAAAATGGACCCTTCCTCCTCTTCTGTTTTCTTGTGCGATTTTTCTCTTCCGAAATAACCACAACCAGAGTTCACCTTTCGAAATCCTCCACTCCCTAGCACAATCATGTTTGTTCTGTACGCAAAGGGCTTTGAAAACAACTTTCTCACATTCACAGTCGAACACACCAAACCGAGTAGTCGCCTGTTTTTTGAAAACGAGGAGGGAGAGAGAGAGAGAGAGAGAGAGAGAGAGAGAGAGAGAGAGAGAGAGAGAGAGAGAGAGAGAGAGAGAGAGAGAGGGAGGGAGCTTAGGTAACCAACAAACCCAATTACTAAGCTTTATTGATACTAAAAGGAAAAGTTCCCCTCGTAAAATTTCTCTGAGCTTATTAGTTATTTAAATCAGCCGGGGCTGGACCTGCGACGCCCAGGGCACCTTCCTTGGCTCCTGGAGGTGAGCAGCCTACGTCTGCGCCGCGCTGATCTACTGCTTCTCACTAGGGACTGGGCAAGAGGGGCGAGAGCAAGAGCAGATTGCTGAGGTGAGCCACTTGACCAGGGTCAGGCTCGGTATGGTCAGATGGTCACGGGCACCAGGCACCAGAAATAAAGCAGTCACCGCTGCTGTTGAGGCTGTGGGAAAGCAGGCCAAGTGGTCACCGAGTGCTGCGATTCAGCTTTCCCGACTGCAGTGGTGTATCTTGGACGGCTCTGGTCACTGGTCCGAAAGAGCCGGCTGTGACCCGGCGTGGTTCGGGCATCCAGGACGTGCTCCTGTTATAATCGGGGTGGGCACTAGGTGGATTTACACCTTTCTGGGTCAGCTATCGCTTTCAGTAGCCAGTTCCACTGTTTGTGTGTGTGTGTGTGTGTGTGTGTGTGTGTGTGTGTGTGTGTGTGTGTGTGTGTGACTGAGGGGGTGGGTAGAGAATTGAATTTATTAAAACCACAGCAGCAGCAACAACAACAACAACAGCAAAAACCCTTCCTAGCAAAGTCCTCTAAGCTGTTCATGGGGGCTCTCACATCTTGATGTAACTTCAGAAAGGAACCAGGGGATGCCCAGCTCTGCTGGGCTTGTCCTTCTCACGACACGGAGAGAAGGCACCGCGGGGGAAGAGGACTGAGTCCCGAGATGATGGAGTCTCAGCTACCTGGACTTTAGTCCG